GGCGCGCCCGCAGCCGGCGCCCCCGGCCGGCCCCGAGGGCAGCCCTCGCGGGGCGTCCCGGCCCATCAAGACGGAACAAGCGGCCGTGAGCCCGGAGGTGCGGTGACCTCCGCGGCGTCGCCTCTGCACCGAGGGTCACTAGGAACTCAGCCCAGGGCCGTCGAGGAAGGGGCGGGCGACGCGCTGCGCCCGCTCTGGAGCGAACTTCCCGGAAGAGGGACCAGTGAGGACGTGTCCTACAAGGGAAAGGGCCCAGGGGTCTGGAAGGGCGACCGTCGCCCCCAGGTGCTCGGCAGACCCTTTTATCATCCGCCGCCCGCTGAAAGTGGCCTTGTCCGCGTCCCCCTCCCGGGGTCGAGGTCCAGGAACCCACATGGCAGAGCGGTCATCGGACCAAAGTGGCGCCTCTTTTTTCCGGGCTGGGGTCGCCGAGAGGTGGGGAGGGCCGGGGAGCCTTCGCCCTCCTCAGCGGCGCCCCCTCCCGGAGACTCAGGGACAGACGCTCCTCGACGGCGTGCGAGGAGAGAGGCGCAGAATGGACGCGGGGGCCGCACACACCGACCCCGAGGCGGTCCCGCACGATCGCGTTAGCAAAGGCTCAGGCGCTCTTGCTTTTGTTTTTCTTTATTTCTTTATTTCACATACACATTAGCCATTCAATGGAGAAGCCGGAGAGAGTCAGGCAAAGATGGTATAACAGAAGCGCAGTGGCGGGGCGGGGCGGGGCGGGGCGGAGAGGGGACAGACGGGCTGGCTGCCTACTTGCATTCCGCTAGGACACTGAAAACCCAGAAAACAAAACAGACAGTAAACTACCCTTGTTTCTTATGTATCTCAGTGCAGAGACGGGGTGGAGGGCAGAGAGGGGAGACCAGGCCGAAGGAGGAGGAGCGGAGGGACAGGGGACGCTAAGGGGAAGCACACCAAATCCATTAGTACTATATATAGAGATACTCGTATATACTGCGTTTCTTAGCCTAAGAAGAAACTTGTTTGACGGGACGGGCGGCCTTTGCGGTCCGCGATGCTGGTGCTGGTCGGGCGCACGGATCTCCCGGGAGGGGCCGAAGCGGGGCTGGCCCAAGCTGGCTTGCGGGCGGAGGGGGGCGCCCCTAGGGTGGGGTGGGGGAGCAGAGGCGGGGCTGGGGTGCCCCTCGGGCTCTCAAATGGGGGATGAAAGTTCTCGTGACTTTATTGCTCCTTTATTTTCTCTCGTGTGGGGGGTCCGTTCAGCACGGTCGGGGTGGGGAGTGGTGGGTCGTCTGAGCCACCCGGCCCCTCTGGGACCCAGAGCGCGGCGTCCGCTCCGCCAGCACGGGGGTGAGAACAAGGCACTAGGTCGGCCGGCCAGCGCGGGAGCGGGTGTGTAAGGCAGTCGACGGGGCAGGTTGCAGGGGGCTGGGGGGCTGTGTGCGGGGCCGTGTGCGTGCGTGCGTGCGGGCGCGGGCCTGGGCGAATCGACCTGTCAGCTTGGCTGGTCCTGTCTTGGAGCGTCGAGCCTTCCCCGTGCTCCCCGGAGGGCGACGGGGATGGGGGTGGGGGGTGGGGGAGTGATGTTGAGTCGGGGGCGCCGGGGAGGTGGGGAAGATACTACCAACTTGCTGAGCGCGCTCCTGATAATGCTGGTGAGGGTCAAGTTGGCGTCTGGCTCAAAGAAGGGCGCTCGGGGCGGGGGGAGAGGGAGGGCGGGAGGGGACGTTTGTTCGTTGGCATTGACCTCTGCGGTGGAGGGGCTGGGGACCCCTCGCCGCGCCCCCGTGCCGGGACGGGGATAGGCGAGGAGGGGGCGCTGGGCCCGGGGAGGGGCGCCCGGGGAGACCCGCGGCCAGAGCAGCCCAGCCGCCGGGCGCACGCCGCTGTCCCGTTCCGTTAAACTCAACAAAGAAGGGATATGCGTGTTCCTAACAAGTGCAGGATATTTAATTGATTCATAAACTTATGTATAATAGTTTGTGGGTTTTTTTTAAAACGTACTTTATAATGTAAGAAGCACCAGGGTTTTTATGTTGAATTATCTTAAAAATAATTTTTTCTCGTCCTTTTCCTTTTTGATCTTGTGTTTTTTTTTTAAATGTCAAGGTGTTCATTTTTGTAACTCTAAAATGTGAACGTTTCCTTCAGCCCTCCCACCGAAACCGAGAACGAACGACGAAACAAATAAAAACCCCAGATCATCCTCGTCAACGCAGGAAAACGACTTAAAAAAAAATGAAAACGAACGAAAAAAAAAGGAAAAAACACTCAGCTTTCGTTATCCCCGCGCAGGGCGGGGCAGGCCCGGTTCTTTTAGCGTCCCCAGAGCCGCGAGGACATTACAACAAAAATAGATTTTTTTTTCTTAACAATCTCTTAACATACAAAGATAGGAAAACTCTCTGATGCATTGCACTTGGTTCAATGAAAAAAAAAAAAGTTCATTTCCCCCATATATATTTTTTGTGGGTTTTTTTTTTTCTCTTCTAACAAGTCCCCACATCTCCTGTCGCCCTCGTCGCCCCTCGCCTGCCCCTCACAGCGACACTTGGGAGAGGAGCGGCCCCCCCCACCCCGCCC